TTACTATAACTTTATCAGACCAAAAAAAAATTACTATGTTTTAAAATTATTATATTTTAAATAACATATAAAATTGTATATAAAAATATTTTATATATAAAATGATTTATATATAAAAATTATTGTATTTTACATAATATATAAAATTATATATATAAATTATTATATTTAAAAAAAATATATCATATGCATGTATATAAAATGCAACATATATAAGAGACACGCAAAGTTTTATCTAAATTCGTTCTGTATAAGTAAAGAAATAATATTGAAGTTTATTTCGGTTGTTTCACTTTCACTACTTAATTACGAAATACATAATAGCCGGTGACACGAGATAAAATTCTTCTGCGTGAAATTCCCGTAAAATTGTCAACAATGTGTTAAGCTGCTGGCAAATGAGACTGAACTGGCCGGATTTTGATAGTTGAATGGTTATTGCAAAGTTTCTTCAACACAGTGCGTCGCAATTAAGAGGCGTGACAGCGTTTTTCCGGAAGCGTCTGATTCCGGATTAAGGTCGGGTCAAAACATAACCGTGAGACACGCTCTCGCATAACCGACACCGTGGAAATATCATTCCGTCATTTCTCGTTTCATTTTTTCTTTTCTTTTCTTCTTTTTTTGCTTCCTCCCTGCTCTGTTCACATAGACGAATGAAAATGCATGCTTGCTTTCGCGTCCTATCTCTTCTTTTTGTTCAGCTTCGCGAGAGATTGCGTTTCGCCTTGATTTCTGTAATTGTGATTTTCCGAGAACGTTCGGGCCTCAATGTGAAATCACTGTTTGTTCCTGAAGAGACATTTCGTCATCCGTAATCGTTGGCGGGAGATTTGAATTTGGATTTGTAGCCAAATTAACCTCTTGCGCTGGTAACTGGTTCACGGACCATAACGAGCGACCAAACACCGTATACAATAATTCGTCTTCTTTTCGAATTCATCTGGACAGAAATTACTAAGAAGTAATAAATTTATTATTTGTCTTGCCTCGGTTATATTTCAATATACTTAAAACTGAGAAAATATCGCAATTTTGAACGAAAACGTTCGAACAAAATTGATTCGCATGCAAAGAGACAGAGTTTTATTGCAAGTCAGACGTAACTTTCCGACAACTCAGACTATTCGTCGATTATTTAACGGCAGATTTTCATGTACGTCACCAAAGAACTAGAATCTAAATAGAAACGGTTTTCATATTTTAAATATCAGAACGGAGTATCGTACATTAGATATTTCACACATTTTTACATGTTATGTGCATTTTTGCATCTTTAAATTTCCAATAGAAGCTAGTCTAGCGATGCAACTTTCCGTATCGATTCAGACGAATGTGGTCCTAAATATTATTAATATTATATTTATATTATTTATTATATATAAATGTAAATATATTAAATATATTAAATATATAAATATAATATTAATATATATTAATTATATTAATTATATAAATATTATAATATAAATAATTTACATATGTAAATATTAATTATAATTATATAAATATAATATTAATATATATATAAAATTAATATTACAATTGCAATGTAAATATTATATATGTATAATTTTAAAATATACAAATATATAAATTATATAAATTACATATATAATAATAATTTTAAAATACACAATGTACGATTTTTACGAATGAGTTGTTGGATTATTGGGAAGTTTGTATTCGAAATTCAAGAAGAATTTATATTTTTTGAGAAACTTTTTACGCTTTTCATTAATAAGTTTCACTCTTCACTTGTCTGCCGAGAGAAGAAAATTCTTCTCGTATTTTATTCATTTTGCATCGTTTCAAGATTGTTAACTGTCCCACCGCGATCGTCGGTGGAAACTACGTTTTTCATCTTCTCTCACAATGAAACGAGCATGTTTAACGAGCGGCTAGCATAAACTACTGGCTCGATCGGGCACTTTCGATGATTGCGACGGAGTGTTCAGCAGTGTTTCGAGGAAGGGAGCGAAAAGGGAAAGACGGGAATCCGCGGCGTGCTCTCCAAATCCGGCACGTACAGCGGGAAATGCCTCAGAAGGAAATTGTAAACGAGTAGCCGAGTCAGGCCACGGGGCAGGAAGTCCGCGTGCCTTCGGTACGTGAAACGTGGCTGAAATGGTGAACTGCCTCGTATATACATATCGTTCGTATCGTTTTGTAAATCAATGTAATCTCGAGGAAGAATATATTGCACGAGCAGTTCTTCTCCCAAAATATTTTTGCTTACGTGAACCTGTATGCAGGGAAAAATAAAAGTCCATCGAAGATTACCTCCCTCGCTATTATAATAAATACGCTATCTGCGGGTTGTAGCGTGAGCTTTACTGCCCAACGAGCGGAAATAAAAGAAATTATAAATAATAAAAATATATACGTCGAGACACGTCAAGGGGTTAACACATAAAGTGTGTTAACCATTTGTGTGTGCTGCAGCATTTAAAAAATGTACTACTTCCTCTACAAAAGGTATTGACACGTTCGAGACGGTGTCAGTCCCTGTGGACCGACGCTTCGTTATTCGTTTGGTCGGCGTCGGTCCCACGGGACCGACACTTGCAATATTCGTATGTCGGACGCGTGTTCAGACTGATAAATACACTTGAGTTTTATTAATATAAAAAATACACGTGAGAAAAGACTATGACATAAAAATTATGACATAAAAAATACCCGCCTTTCGACGCCAGTCTGCAGGAATAGAATATATTATATATATTATATATATGTGAAATATATACACTTGATTTTTATTAATATAAAAAATACACGTAAAAAAGAAACTATAATTTATGTGACATAACAAATACCCGCCTTTCGACGCCAGTCTGTGGAAATAGAATATGTTATATATATATGAAATATATACACTTGATTTTTATTAATATAAAAAATACACGTAAAAAAAAACTATAATTTATATGACATAAAAAATACCCGCCTTTCGACGCCAGTCTGTGGAAGTAGAATATATTATATATATATGGAATATATTATATATTATAATGGAATATATACGCTTGATTTTTATTAATATAAAAAATACACGTAAAAAAAAATTATAATTTATATAACATAAAAAATACCCTCCAGTCGACGCCAGTCTACGGGAATGGAATACATTAATACCTTTCCCATCGATAGTGTGATAACAGTCTAGCACAGAAAACGAAGGACATTCAACGTAATGCTGTAATTCCAAATCCTGAAACGTGAGAGCTGTTATTTGTGATTAACACGTGCCGTTAACGATAGCTTGAACGCCACGTGGGAGGGACGCTCGAGTGTGACGCTTCCCTCTTGGCATTCACCCCTTGGAAAGTTGTTCGCTTATCTAGAATCGGAAAGACGAGAACATGCCAGATGAGGGACTTCCTTTAAGCGACGGAGGGGGGTGCGATCGTACCAAAGATTATATTTGTAAAAGAGGGAAAACGAAGGAGAGCTGTAAATAAAAGTACACGCTTGAGAAAACTCAAATTACAGATTACGTAATTAGAGAAATGTCTGTAGAGCCTGTCGGATTTCTTGACCTCCTTTTTTCCTCTGCGCGATACACCACAGAGGCAGGCTCTCCACAGAACCGCTTCCGTTTCCGGGCAGTCAACCCTGGCAGATCGAGTTATTTCCAAAACTCAATTTCTTCTCTATATCCTCGACATTTTGCAGAAAAAAAAAAAAAAAAAAGAAACCTACCGAAGCAGATATTTCACTGTCCGAACTAATAATCCCTTGATCGATGGTCGATCTGCTCATTATACGCGACATTAATCCTTTGACTTTGTTGGCGCCTATAGGCGCTTAAAAAAATTGCTTTTACGGTACTGTAGGCGCCTATAGGCGCTTAAAAAAATTGCCCTTACGGTACTGTAGGCGCCTATAGGCGCTTAAAAAAATTGCCCTTACGATACTAAAGGCGCTTAACCTACTTTGATCCGGTAACACGAAGGGTCCGGAAAATTTTATCGACCATAATTCCAGCAAATCTCACTTGAGCCAGACGTAAGTGAATGTTAATTCAACAATTACGTATTCCGTTAGTCATATATTACTTAAATATGTTTATTTTGCAGTTATTTTTTTTTATATATTCTCAAGATGAAAAATTGGGATAATAAAATGGTCAGAAAAAGTACATGGAAACATGACACAACAAATGATTCACGTTGTGTATATTGATATTTTGTGGATACGATGTAATTGTTTGACAACTTGGCACAATCGCCGTACTGGAAAGAGGAAGAATAACTACGTACTTTATTTTTATGCACATATGTTAAATGAGATGTATGCAAGAAAATATATATTCTTATACAATGTAAATTACAACGAAAATAAACTTTAACTCTCTATGCTCGAAACTCTCTTTTTTAATTACTTGACAACGACTGTGTGTTTATCTCTCTAGTGACTGCTATATATATCCCTAACGATTATTTATAAATCTCCTTGACGATCGTTATAAAAAGCTTAATGCCAATGTTAAATTTTTAGCATGTGCACCGACAATTCGATGCAGAAATACGAATAAATAAATAATATTGGTTTCACGTAGTGGAGTTCAGTGTTTCGACTATTTCAATATACTTTCTCAGAAAGTACACGTCGAGGCGAAAAATTTCGCCGTTCTCGGTGTCAGGTCGCGGCTGAATTCCTACCGGTATGATACAGTCTGAAAGTCTGCCGTGGTCAAAGGGTTAAAATCAGACGAAAGGCAAATGGGACGGGGCGGCCCAACGTCTACCCTCGATTCCGCTAAGCAACCTTAGAATCGCGCGCGAACACGTCCCGGCTTCAGCACCTTTCCCTCCCCTCGTTAAATCGCGTTAAATTGATCTCGTTCGACTCGGTAATCGGGTCGATCACGAGCCGATCGAGATTCGCAGGGGAAAACGACGCTAAAAGAAGCCATGCGTTTGCTAAAAAAAAAAAAAAAAAAAAACGAAGGTGCCGGTTTTTCCTTCCCTTGATCCGTGGCGTTTCTGTTGCAGCAACTGAAAGATGAGCTGGGCGAGGTGGTGGCCGAGATGGAGGCGATGGAGGGCGGCGGCCTCGCGACCGACGAAACCAAGCCGTCGAACAAGGCGAAGCAGACGTCGATCGGCCGTAAGAAGTTCAACATGGACCCGAAGAAGGGCATCGAGTACCTGATCGAGCATAATCTGCTGGCACCGACGCCGGAGGACGTCGCCCAGTTCCTTTACAAGGGCGAGGGCCTGAACAAAACAGCGATCGGCGATTACCTCGGCGAGCGGCACGACTTCAACGAGAGGGTGCTGCGCGCGTTCGTCGAGCTGCACGACTTCACGGACCTGATCCTGGTGCAGGCGCTCCGGCAGTTCCTCTGGTCGTTCAGGCTGCCCGGCGAGGCGCAGAAAATCGACCGCATGATGGAATGCTTCGCGCAGAGGTACTGCCAGTTGAACCCGAACATATTCACCAACACGGACACCTGTTACGTGCTCAGCTTCGCCATCATCATGTTGAACACGTCTCTGCACAATCCGAGCGTCAAGGATAAGCCCAGCGTGGAACAGTTCATATCCATGAACCGTGGCATCAACAATGGCGGTGACCTGCCGCGCGAACTCCTCGTGGTGAGTGCTTTTGCTTGCTATCGCTCGTTTCGCAACGCGGCTTTCCTCCTCCTGCTGTCTCTCCCATTTGTCTCTCTATGGGAACCATTCCTCGGAATCGTTCGTTTGCTCGCAACCACGTTTCTTTTTTTTTTTTATTTTATTTTTTCTTTTTCTTTTTTTTTTTTTTTTTTTTTTTCATGCACTCGGGGATAAATAAAGAAACGATGGATACGAGCCGTTTTTTTTGAAA